ATAATAATAATAATAATAATAATAATAATAATAATAATAATAATAATAATAATAATAATAATAACAGAGTAATAATGATATAAGAAATTTACATAGAGCTCTACCCTCTTAAAGAGCACAGGCTCGGCGCTCATAATCCTATTAGATAACACAGGCTCTGGGTAGCAATACATAAACTATACATTGTGCCGTGACTAAAAACTACACTAAAATTTTATCTCTAATGTAAGAACAAAAACGACTTATTAAACTAACTTATATATGGATCTCAGTCGACAATGACAATTCGGAAGCAAAAAGATGGCAAGGTTTTACTAAACTTTTCTTGAAAAAGCAATATCTGCATAACCAATTTTTATATGTTTGTGTTGTCAACCTCATTTTTATACTCCTTGCAGCAGCCAGCACTTCTGTTTTACCGTGATTTAACATCAGTTTGTTTTAGTTCATTCAAGTTTTCACGGAAACAATACAATTTACAGCCCGATAGGCATTGTTGAACCACAAATATGGGTATCATCAGCATAGAAATAATACTTTAGGGCATACTTTTTTCCTTGACAAATGATTGGGTATAAAAGAATTATTGGTGAATAAATTGGGACCTAGGGCTGAACATTGAGGGATCCACACGTAAGAACATGATCTGATGACTTACTTATACCCTTTAATAATAACAGGTTGGTATCAATATGATAGATAAGAACAAAACCAGCTGAAGACAGCTTCAGTAATCCCGAAAGACACCCCCAATCACTTAAACAGAATTATGATCATCTGTATCAAAAGCCGCTGATAGATCTAAAAGGCTCAGCAGAACAACTTTCCTGAATCACAGTCTTGAAGTATGTCGTTCATGACTTTAAGAAGTGCTGTTTGTTTGTTTTTGTTGGCACCATAGATAGTCAAGAATGAATTTAACAGATTGCTCACTTACTGTAAATTATGTTGACAAAGCTGCTCGAGAATAACCTTTTTGAGGACATTAGCCAGAAAAGGTAAATTTGGAACAGGGTTTTATTACAAGGAGGTTAGAATAGAATGCACCGATTTTATAACGCATTACTTTAGTTCCCCTTATGGAATGAGTCAGTGGCCATTTGAAAGAGGAGTTATCTAATTTTTGAAAAGCTGTCAC